ATTAATTTGATGAATGATAAAATCATCAATAAATCAAAAATTTTCTGAGTCCTACTATGAATGAACTTCTGGGGCAAATAAAAAGAAACATGATTTAGCTAGGGAAGGTTTTTAACAGAAATTACATTTAAGGAATAAGAAAAATTGAAAAAAAAATTGGAGTTGTTATGTACATTACCAATGTGATCAGAAGATGGAAAGATCATTGCAGGTTGAATGGCTACAATTCATTCAAGGGCTGGAGAAGCACTTTGAATTGATTCATGAAAATCATAAATGTGGGTCAGGTAGAGGTGATGAATACAGCATGGGGATCACTTTGGCAGTCAGTAGAATGTTTTAGCATGAATTAAGATTTCTGTGGAAGGGAGTGGAAAGGTAAATTGGGGCTATAATATGGAGAACTTTAAAAGTTAGGGTAATACATTTAAACAATGGAAAGTTATTAAATGTTGCAATGGTCATTCCTTACCAGACGGTTTATCTACCTCCACTCCAAGTACATTTATTGAGCATCAGCTACTTGTAAGGCATGTGCTGAGTGTTATAAGAAAATAAAATTAACAACTATACCTCCTGCCCTCAAGTCATTTGCAGTCTACATTAGATACACATAGTTTATATTGGAGAAAATATGTGTACACAAATGACTATTGAATAAATCAGAACATAGATATAAGAGATGCAATTGTAAACCAAGTATTAAGATACAACAGGAGAAAAAGAATTAATTCCAGCTGGAGGGATCAGCAATGAGCAGGCATTTAAGGTGGTCCTTGAAAGATGGGGGCAACTTTGACAACACCATCTCTCTATGAGGGGAACATGCTTTTTAAATAGGAAAACCAAGGACATGGGGGTAGGAAATTGCAGAACAAATTAAAGGCCTAGAAAGTAGTTTAACTTGGCTAGAACCCAAAGTATTTAAGGAGGACAAGTAGGAGGTATGGCCAGAAATGGAGAATGAGGCCTGCACTTGAAGGGGCTTTAACACCAAGCTTAGAAGCTGGAATCTTAAAAAACCTTTCCTGGCATGCTCATAAGCACCTCCAGGGATTCATATCCTGGTAATTGATCCACATATGGTGAATGATAAGAACCATACTTTTGGAAACTAATAGGAAAGGACTGTGAGTGGGATGAATTGGGGAGATTACAGGCAGGAAGAGCTTTGGGAGCCATCACAATAGTGCAGGTGGGTCTGTGAGGATCAGAGCTAGTGAGTTCTTAATTAACCTCTCATCAGTCTACATTTTCCATACGGGCAATGACAATATTAAATAAGAAACAGATTTCAAAAAACTTTGCAGGGCATAATAGGGTTCAAAGACTGACTAGATGTGGGGATCAAGGTTAAGGAGGAATTAAGGATAATTTCATGATTTAAATCTTTAACTAAAAGATAATGTCTTTCTTAAAATTAAATAAAACATGAGGAAAGCAGAATAGAAGGGTATTCTGGTTGCTTTGAAAATAGTGCATTCCAAGATTTTCAAAATGGCAGGTCAAGCATGTTTATTTACCTAACCTTATCTTTAATCCCATTGAAATTACAGTAAAATAGGCTAGAAATTCATAACAACCAGGAGAAAGGGAGGCAGAAATGATCAGCACATGAGAGTTTTAACAAATTTCTTGATGATAGAACACAGAGAAATGTGAGAAGAGAGAATGGAGGAGACAGGACTCACGGGCAGATGGAAAGTGGAATGGAAGATCATTTAGGACCAAGTAGGCAGATGTGGGGTGCAGGACCTGGAAGCTGTGGATGAAGGTTGGTCTATGCAGTGCCAGGGGTGTGTCCCTCCCTACCTCTGTGTATGGAGCTGCCAGGAGGCCTGGAGAGGCCTGGAGTTGCCAGAGCTGCTGGGAGCAGTCTCTGGCTGGCAGCAAAGTGCCCCTATAAAGAATTACTTTTGATATATTTAATAGTATGAAAGAGGTTGGCAAGAAGTGCTCTGAAGAAAACCTGAAGAAAACAGAGATTTCTAATTAACTACTGTCCTCATTCTGGCAGTTTGAACGCCCACTTAACATTTAAAATCCTCCCAGCCCATACTCTTGTTGATGACCACATAATTTATGGTCATTCTTCCCATTCATGGGAGGGGCCTATCTAAAACTAGTGTAAACTCCTACAAGATATCTAGAATAATACATCCAGACTTACATTTTTAAATATGGATGGATATTCTAGATACCAAACACTAAAGAAAAAGTAATAAGAAAAAAATGATATCAAAGTTAGGAAAGAAAGAAAAAAAAAACCCAAGACAAGCAAATATATGTTATATACATATAAATATAAACATACATGAAATATATAAAGATATATATTGACCTGAGAGGAAATAGCGTTAAGTTAGAAAACAGAAGAAAACTTTAAAAAATTCCATTTTATTAATACTGGTATTTATATTTGAGAAAGTGTTACATCCATAAAACAAAAGCAGGATTTCATGAAAAAAGAAATAAGCAAAACAAGAAATTACTTTTATAAATTATAAGAGATTGTTGAAAAATAAAACTCCGAAATATGAGAGAAGATATTACAAATCTGAAAAGCCCCAAATCAGATTAATAGGAATTCCAGAAATGGAAAGCAGAGAAAAGAAAGGGAAATGAATTAACAAAATATTAGAAGAAAATTTGCCAGAGCTTAATTTAAGATTAGGAGAACTAACCAAGTAATGTAAAGGACAGTCAGAAATACCCTCACAGGGATACGTTGTTAAAGAAATTGCAGAACGCTCAGGATGCAGATATCATCCTAGGGAAGTGTTTAAAAAGAAACATTTCTCAAAAAAGGAAGGAGAATCAGACTGGTATTAGGCATCTCATCAGGCACACTCAGTGTTAGAATATAACAGAGCAATGCCTTCAAAGTTCTGAGGAAAAGTTATTTTGATACAAAAGTTCCATACCCAATCTATGAATCAAGTATTCGGGTAGAATCAAGACATTTTCAGACATACAAGGGCTCAGAAAATTTATCTCCCCGCTGCACATTTTAAATAAGACATTTCTCAGTGGTAGCCAAATGACAGAGAGACCCAAGGAAGAAGTCATGGGTCTAAGCTAGGTGTGAACATTGGAAAGCCAGGCTGAGTGCTGTGTGGAGGCCCTGCAAGCCATTGGTCCATGCGTGAGGAGGAGGGCCCAGGACTGTCTGTCGGAGACCTGTCCCTGGGAAAAAGTAGACTTTGTCATATGGTTGAGAGTATATTTCAGGATATGGTAAAAGTATATGTTTCTTCTGTTTACAAGGGGAAAACAAGATAGTTAAACATCTCCTTCCCTCTGTCCTCCAAATTGAACCAAATATAAAAAGTATAAGAGAGCCATGGTTCAAATAGAAAGCAAACAAAAATGTGACATGATTGACAGCAATTGAGGCCACATGATGAAAGAGAGTCCTTTTGGCTGGGATGACAGGAGTGCTTCTTTGTGCTGCCCAGCATGGTGATGTGACATTATTGTGAAGGACTGGTAAACCAGTGTGTTTCTTGACTTTGCAGTAAATAATGTTTAAATAGTCATAATGACATAAATGCTGTTACTGGTTTTTAAATTTTGAGAATTGGTTTATGCACCAAACATTACAGATAATTATGGTTATAGTACAGAAGATAAATTATAAAATTAAAGGTTTAGATAATGGAATTTAGAAGAGAACGGGGGCAGGAGAAGTGGAGGAAAAGGCAGGAGTGCTAACATCTTCATCATCGAACACACTGAGAAGTCACTAGATCATGTCAAAAGTTGACAGCATGAGACATAGAGGTTTTAAAATATTTACATTTCATGTGACATATAAGGAAATTAATAACTACAACACGTAGGGAGGCTGGGGGAGTGATGGATTGAGCGAGCTAAATGCTCATCTTTTATAAGCTTATTATTGATAGTTTTAAAAAAAGAGGTAAACAACAGCAAAAGTAAAATCAGAATTGTTAGAAGTACTTACCTCTAGGGATTAGGTGGTGTGGATCATTTATTTGAGTTAATAGGGTAGTTTAGTAAAATTAAACAACTAAAAACCAAAAGAAAGACAATACCAGGTTGATGCAATGATAAATAGGCCTGAAAATTTTCTTATGAGAAAAATAGATCGATTTCTAAGACTGAAATGTGCCTGTTTACTAGGCCAGGACAGGTGATACAGGCAGCAGGCAAAAAGCTCCTGTAGGTGAATTCCAATGGTAAAGTCTGAGGATCAGAAAACTGAGAGTACAGAGAAAAGCTAAACTTCAAGGGAAAGCCATGTTGGGGTAGTTAGTTGCTTTAGGAAGTGCTGTATTCTGTGGTAGTGTCTTAAGGATATGGTGGCTCCCAGTTCAAAGACTTTGAAAAAAATTTTCTTTTTCTGATTATAAAAGTAATAGATGTTCGTGTAGAAAACTGGAGAATTACAGAAAGCATAAAGAAGATTCAGCCTAATGAGTGTGTGGCACCCTACCATCCCCAGTCTTTTTTTTCCTCTTCCTAGAAGCACCAAATAAAATTACCTCCCACCTCCACTACCACCCCCAGGTAAAAATCATCCGGGGAGTAGAGCAAAAATCAGTAGTTAGGACAGGTAAAGCTGTTTAGCCTGCTCATGGTATTCCTGAGCCACCATCCAAGCTTTCTAGATACGGAACACACTTCCTCCTACCACCCCGTTGTTACTTCAGCTGTCACCAGAGAAATTCACTAACACAGATTCAGGTGTCGAGCAGAGATGCTGCAGTGAATTAAATGCTTCTCAAAATTTAGTGTGTATAAGAATCATCTGTGGAGCTGTTCAAATAGTGCTGATTTCTATAGCTTCCATTGGCTAGAGGCGGGGCCAAGAAATCTGAATTTCTAAGCACTTGCTATTCAAGTGTGGCCCATGGACCAGCAACATTGGCATCACCTGAGAGTTTGCTGGAACTACAGCACCTTGATCTACAGACTCAGAATATGTATTTTATTTATTTATTTATACTTATTTATTTTATTTTTTTAAATATGAAAATATTTAGTATTTCATTGTATTCCTCTACATATAAAACCAATTCAAATTGTCACTGGATTAGTAGGTCTGAAACTTTTCTGAGTGTATTGAGCACAATCTTACTACTGTAGCACATAAATTTTTGATTAAAGATAATTCACTCTAATTTTGAAAAGAATCTGCTTGGTCAGGAGCGCATTGCTTTGCTGGCGTCTGTGATCAGCTGGAGATTGTGGTGAACGGCCTGGTTGTATTTCTTGGAAGAAGAGCTTTTATTCTGCTGCTCAACCCAGGTCTCTGCCTTCCTTAGAGACTGAGGCTCATCCATCAGTTTCCCTGGAGAATGGCCTGCAGCCTCCCACTCAGGGCTTGGCTGTGCTCATCTAGTCCATCCCAGGGCTGGAAGGGGTGTCCCTGGTGACCTAGAAAGGTGTCCCAGCAGTGCCTAAACTCACTGTATTTCATCACGGAAATTGGGGCCCCAGCTCTGTCCAGCCTGCACAGGCCCTTTTTATATTCTTGTTGATAATCATAGATGCGGGCAGCGAAGATGCACAGGCTCGCATATGGGTTCACTTAAAGGAATTCAGCCACCTTCTTGGCACAGCTGAAGCAGGGGCTCCAGGAGATGAAGCAGGTGACCCTGTAGCGCTGGGCCTATTTCAGCTTCCAAAAGGAAATCAGGTACAGGAGGCACAGCTCTGCATGGCAGCCTTCAGGGAAACCGGGATTATTTGAAGCCTCGTTGAGTATGAAGCCCCTGTGCTGGTCCAGCGGGACGCAGGTGCCATTGTGCAGGTGCTCCACCTCATAACACTGGTAGGTCTGGTGCCGTCCAAGGACCGAAGGGTCATTGGTAAAGTTGTAAGTGAATGTGCCTGGATCTATCACGTGTCTGAGAACCTCCCCCAGGGTGACATGCAGTAATGTATAATGTTTAGGCAGCTTATCCCAAGGCTTGTACAATCTTTGGTTGTACACGAACTTGTCCCAACAGTGTTGAAATTCGCCATAACTCATGCTCTTTATGGTGGCATGCGGATTGTCTCTTTTCTGACACAGTCTGCGAAGCTCCTCCCGGTAATGTGGGTCCCAGAAGTAGTAGAGGCGGGCCACGAAGATGGTCAGGGAGACCTTCCCGTCCTCGGCCAGGAACTTGGCCACATTCCTTGCACACACTGGGCAGGGGCTCCAGGATACAAACCAGGTAACCTCGTACTCCTGGTCACTATGCGGCTTCCACTTGTGGAACCAATGGAAGAATCTCATCTCTGGGTGGTGTTGAGGCTTGGAATAGACCTGGCCTTGAAAGATCTTTGCAACCAAAGGGGACCTTGGGCGGTCGTTTGTTTTCATTTTCACTTCGTGGCACAGCCAGACGGTGTTCCGACGAGAAAGGATGGGCCTATTATAAAAGTTGTAGAAGAATGTTTCTGGATCCATTCGAGCCACTTGTTTCTGGTCTGAGGCTTCATCTGTGGCCAGCTAGTCCCAACCATGATCTTTGTCTGGATCACTAGGGTTTCACTTTCTGCTACAGGCTCCAGGTTTTAGGACAGCTCCTATTATTTATTTATTTATTTATTTATTTTTGAGACGGAATCTCACTGTCACTCAGGCTGGAATATAGTTGCATCATCTCAGCTCACTGCAGCCTCCGCCCCCCCAGGTTCAAGCAATTCTCCTGCCTCAGCCTCCAAAGTAGCTGGGATTACAGGTTTGCACAACCCAGCCTGGCAAATTTTTTTTTTTTTTTTTGTATTTTTAGTAGAGACAGGGTTTCACTATATTGGCTAGGCTGGTCTCAAACTCCTGACCTCAGGTAATCCACCCGCCTCAGTCTCCCAAAGTGCTGGAATTACAGGTGTGAGCCACTGCACAGAATATGTATTTTAACAAGATCTCCAGGTGATTCGAAAAGCACAGGGGTAGGTGATCTTATGGTTCTGGGTACTGATTTTTTTGGTCAAGCACCATCTAGCTGGTCTTAATTAAAGCACTGCACTCACAGTCAGTGGCAGTGGCTCCTCACCACCCTCTCTTCTCCCTTCTTTTTTTTCTCTTTGGGGCGCATTAACCTTTTCACGGACATTCAGGAAGATGTTAACCATAACTTTTTCAGGTTTGACTTAAGTCAGAATCAAAGGAAGGAGGCCTGAAGACACCTGTGGACTTTGTAGGGTGATGGATCAGCTGGAATGAGGGAGGGGCACATTCACACAGGAGCAGCTCACGGGGTCCCTTTGATGAGGTAAATTAGCACTTGTTCTTAGGTCCCAGCTCCAAGATAAAGGAATCTGTGACGAGAAACAATTTAAGTCAATAGCTGAGGCGTTTTCGGTAGCTGATGCACACTTAAACATCTGAGGTATGACCTCGAGGACACTGATTATCATGGGAAAGATTCATGCAGGTCAGAAAATGTTTAAGTGGGACTAACATTTTTGAATCTATAAAATAGAACCCTCTTAAACCCTTTGATCTGTTTTTTTTTTAAGTGAAAATTTGAATTTATGTTTTCTTTACATATTTTGCTTCCTTTGAAATTTGATTGGAACCAGTCTGGGTATGTGTACATCAAAATTGTATTTTATTCATTATTGGTTTGTCTCTTTCCCTGGGGCAGAAGTATGTGGGATTCATCTTGTCCAACAATAGGAGATGCTTTTTCTACTCAAAGCCTTCTTCCTAGGCATGGACTGTAGACGTTATTGTAGCATGCAATGATTCAGTTGCTTAGCACACAGTTCATTCCCCGGCCGTTCTGGAGATGGGGATGGCGTGCTTGTATTGGGTGTAAGCCAAGTCTGAGCCACGTCCGTCTGCTCGGGGCTGGCCGGCTGTGCTGTGACTCTGGTCAGCACTGGTTGTTACTCTCCTAGTCGTCTTTTTATCTTCCTGGGTAATCTTGGGCTTAATTTGGTTCCTGCCTTTAATACTCCCATCTGGCTTCTTTCTTTCTTTCTTTTTTTAAAAAACATCTGTCTGAAGCTTATATAGTCATCCTCATGACCACTTGGTTATTCAGAATAATAATTCTCTTCTGCGTGGACCTGGGATCCACGTTAACTCCTTATATGGAACACAGAAGAAGTTAGCTGCAAGTTTCATGTAACTCTTTAGATGCCTTGAGAACGTTCAGGTCATTTTCTTCTTAGGTCTTTCTGGTTGGTTGGTAACTGTTCAATAAGCTATTTTGGGGAGCAGAGTGTTTGTGTTTCCTGCAAATATTCACCATCTCTAAAGATGATATAGTCCTTGGAATGTGATAGTTATGTAGGCACTCTGATCAAAATGATGCATAGAAAATTAAGATGTGTATAAGTTCAATGTTAGAATACTTCTCTGGAGGCAGTTGTCTGTTTATAGTCTCTGCCTTTGTTATTGAGATCATCTCTTGGTTTTTCATAATTTGTCTTGATACATTTATTGAGGGATTAATTTATCATTATCGTAGGTAACAGAATTTGTCTTTCACTTACTTGGTGTTAACATCAGTGGCTAAATTGATCAACTTCAGAGCTTGCTTTAAAGCGGAATGCTAAGTAAAAGAGGCATGTGGAACTTTTTGAAGTGAAGAATGTGCCCAATATGTTGATTGCATTGATGGTTGCAGGACTAACTCTATACATTTGTCAGAACTCATCAAATTGTGCCTTAAAATTGGTGAAATTTGATGTACATAGATAATATATCAATAAAGCCAATTAAAAAGAAACATAATGCTAAATAAAAAATTACCCAAATCTGAGATTTTCCTACAACATTTTAGATTGTTTTCCTCCAAATCACCCAAAGTTACATTCTTCCCTGTGCTCCTTAGATTTATAGTCATGACGGCATTGCCCGCTAATGTTCACAGGTGATAGGGTTTTAGGGGCTGCACAGATTCACTAGATTTGTGCTCATTTGTCTTGGAGAGATTAGATAAACTAGCATGAGGTGGATGCTTGTAAACTATTACTCTTACTAGTTAATAGGAATGGTCAGAGGAGCAAACCATTAATGATTACATATTTGCATGTATTCATTCAACAATTATCAAATGTCTCCTGTGTGCCAAGCTAAACACCAATAAGTGTGCCTAATTTGTATTTCTCTGACCCTAGTTCATTAATGCATGGCCTAGGCTTGTTTTCCTGAATCAAACTAGTTTGGTTTTGCACTTCTCCTTCGTCTTCCTTGAATTAAAACAAACAAACAATAAAAAAAAAATCCCGGAACCAAATTCCTTCCCATTTTTAAAAAAAATTGCTTGTGCATTGCTTTATTTGTATCATTTTGCATACCTTTTATCTGCCAAATGAGATTGTAAGGTCTCCAAGGGCAGGTGCCAGGTATCCCCCATGCACCAGAAAACAATGCCATGTGTAGGGTAGGTTTTTTTTTTTTTTTTTTTATATGAGACAAAGTCTGGCTCTGTCACCCAGGCTGGAGTGCAGTGGTGTGATCTTGGCTCACTGCAACCTCCACTTCCCAGGTTCAAGTGATTCTCCTGCCTCAGCCTCCCAAGTAGCTGGTATTACAGGAACCTGTCACCACGCCCAGCTAATATTTTTGTATTTTTAGTAGAGACAGGGTTTCACTGTGTTGGCCAGACTGCTCTGGAACTCCTGACCTCATGATCTGCCCACCTCCGCCTCCCAAAGTGTTGGAATTACAGGCATGAGCCACCGCGCCCTGCCTAGAGTAGGTTTTTAATTCATGTTCTAGCACTTGCATGCCTCTAATATTGCATTTACCACACTTTACTACATATATCCTCGTGTTTGTGACCTTGTGAAATTATACACCCCTAAGAGGCTTGACTGACTGCGTGTTTTTATTCATTATATTCTCAGCATACAGTACCATACTTTGTAAGGCATTTAAAAGCCTTATTGACAAAGCAGATTTATTGATGTAAGGGGTGCTGAAAGACCCAACTAACCAAAATATTTATCCTTTTATTCTGTAAATGTACGTGAAATCTCCGACTTCTTACTTTTGTTTTGTTATTGTACTGTGACCCATTTAAGACCATGTGTCATGTGAGTGGAATGATACACTAACAAGCTAACGCAGCCAGGTTTAGTTTTTGGTTCAGTGTTTCTCAAAGTTTTTGGATCGTAATCCATTTTAAGAAGATCATTTAACCTGGAACCAGGAATATAAAGCTATATTACATATATGCAGATATATGTATATACAGAAACCATACTTACCCCCTTAGCCTTATTGTGGTGATACACTGTGATATTTTCTTCTCTATTCTGTTTTATGAAATTTCTATTTTCAAAAATGCAGGTTGTTAAAACTCACCTCACTGATTTCATGACTCACTAATGCAGTTTGAAAAACACTTTATTGCTTAATCCATTATGATGATCACACATCTATCTATTCTAGGCATGGAGAAGAAAAAAGAATTCTGAAATGTAGTTCTGGATGTTGAATGTTGCTAGAGGAGTGATGGTTAGTAAAGGAAAGACTCATAAGCCCCTGGATTAGATAAAAGAGGGGCATTCAAAGACAAAGGGATATGAGAAGAGGGGGCAACAAAGACAATTTCTCTTATTTCTCGTTATGCTGTTAGTCTGATGTACAACTATCTTTCCAAATGGACTGTGGATATTTATAGGGCACTAACTACACATTATTCATCTTCATATCTTCATTGACAAACAAGGGTCCTGGGCTTAATAAGTGTTTGCTAAGTTGAGGATAAATAACGAGCTCATAATGATCACGCACCTATGATGTACCACATGGGGATGTATGGTAGGTGCTGTTGGTTTCCTGTTCAGCTCCCCTTACCTGCTTTAAAGATTGATTGTTAATACAGCCACCCTCTTCTCTATAAAATTACCATCTGGCTCCTCTGGTCTCTTTCTTCCCCTAAATCTCTAATCAGTGACCAATGGCCAACGGACCACAGAATATAATAGTCCGGGCACCTGCCTCAAGATGAAACCAACCTGCAATATAATCTGTGTTCCAGAACTCCCCATGGAGTCAGGCTGAAGCTAGTCTCCAGCCGAGACCACATCTCACTCAGCTTTCTTCCCTTGCCCCATTCTACTTTGTTACTCCCTCAAAAAATCACATGAATGAGAATCCCCACCTCAGGCTTTTCTTTGAGGGAATCCATCCTAAGAAAATATGGTTCCAAGCAACTTACAGTATTGTCTATTTAGTCCTTAAAGCAACTCTTGGAGAGAGCCATTTATAAATGAGAAAACTCAGGCACACTGTGGTGGACTGAGATCCACACTGAGGCAGTCTGAGAGCTCGTGCCAAAGCTCTTAACCATTGCATGAACTGCCCCCAGCATCAAGTTGGTGTCTGGCTGCCAGGACATGTGGTGATTCTCTTGATGGGTCAATGGGCACTTTGGTAGAGGAGGTTGGTTCCCTAGTTCTGCATATCGAGCTATTTGCTAGTACTATTAAAACTATGTATGAAATTATTTAAAGTTTTGGAAAGTATAACATGGAGATATTAGTTTAATCCAAAGTTTGTGGGTAGATGAAGGAAATCTCAGGTTCTGTACTATCAATTCGGTAACAGAGAAT